TGAACTCATCTGGTGTGAATTCAAGTCACCAGCGATGTGAACCCCTACACATCTGTCTGCCCGGGGCTTTAAACCAAGGCTAAAGGAAGGAACTGGAAGGCAGCTGCAGGACCGGGTGGGATCCCACCTACCTGGACATATTTTACAGCATTTCCCATCTACTTTCTCTGGAGAGTCACAAGGATACTCCTTGGGGCATGTGATCTTCTGGCAGTCCTGGACACCGTCTCTGCAAGTGCAGAGGATGCAGGGCAGAAGGCCGTAGAGCCGGAAGACGGGGTGCCACACTTCCCCGTGGGAGTAGGTCTTCCCATTGTAAACACAAGCTGGAGGAGAGAGAGAAAAGAGTTGCTGGTGGAAATAAATCCTCCTCCTCTTTGTACACCCAGAGCTTGGTGGAGCTCAACACATTTCACCACCTTGCAAATGGGTGGCCCTGCTGTCTTGAGGAACATGGTCTTCTGGCAGCACATCCGGCAGCAGCGGACACAGGGGTATTGCAGCCACCCCACCCAGGAGGTGCTATGGGGCAGGGGGACCAGCTCCAGGAGATGGAGGCTGCTGGGGTCAACCACCCTGGTGGGGGTGAGTGGCAAGTGTGGGCAGGACCTCACCTGCCTCCAAGCCTCTGCAAGCCCAGGGTCTCTCCGAGGCTGTCACAGGCATGAAGCACAGTGAAGAGTGCCACCTGCTGACTCCTCCATGAAAATTTTTGGAGGTCCCAAAATTTCCTCCAGGGCTTCATCTCCAAGGACTGGAAAGAGCCCTTCTGGAGATACAGTGGTTGGAGAGCCCCCAAGAGGGGAAGGGACCTGTCTTTTCCCCTTTGGCTCCATGGGGTTGCCTCCTCATCTCTCTTTCCAACTCTCTCCTCCAGGAGGAAGACCACAGCACTGGGACAGACCCAGTACATGGTGGGCAGGTGCAAGGAGGAAGATCCTGTCCTTCTGCTGCACTGTCCTGGAAGGACCACATGGAGTCTTCCAGCTTAGCACCTCCCTTCCCAGGTCCCAGATCTCCAAAACACCCCAACGACCAATCTTCTTCCAACCCTTTTTGATTCATCCAGCCAAGGGGCTGTGGGACACCAGGGCTGAGATAGCCGGGTGAGGCTGGCTGTGGAGGAGAGGGAGGTGGGACTTGGTGGAGGAAAACTGCTGCTGAAACAGACTCCCTGGAGAATTCAAAGTCCTGGAGAAGTCATCTTAGGCCATGTACAGACTGCCTGACCCCTCTATCCCTTACCTTTCTTGTGCTTCTCTTTCAAGACGATCTTCACAGTGGTGCTACCTCCTCCCTTGGGTTTGAAGCTTCTGGGAATAAACTCCAGGGAAGAACTGAGAACAGTGGACACGGTGGCTCCGGGTGCCTTCCTGCCCATCGCTTCCCCCAAGCACTGGTCTTGTGAGTGCCTCTGTGAGGAGTCAGAGAAAAGAAGGGGACTCAGACCCAGGCAGTTGGGTTGTTCTCACTCCAAAGCATGCTGCAAAAAGCCATGCACACCTTCCATCAGGAGTGGAAGGTCCAGAAACCACAGGGATGAGCAATGACCCTGGAGCCATCTCGATTCCTGCCACCACCTAAGGGGTGCTGAGCAGTTTGTGTCAATGCCCCCACACTGATGTCTGCTGGGAAACTGAGGACCAGCATCCATGCAACCCAACCAGGATCAGAGAGGTAAGGACGGGCCGTATCCTGCCCTCTCACCTGGCTGGCACCAGGAGGGTTGGTGTGGGGCTGCCAGCCAGCAGGACTGAAACCCTGGGAACATATTGGGCTTCCAAGAGCAAACCGCTGGGACAAGACACGCAGCACAAAGGGTCCCCTTGTGTCTATTTTGGAGGTTTTATAGGTGGTGGAGGTGTGACGCTGGCATTTCACCCAGCAGTATGGAAAAGGGCAGGGTCAGGAGCTGTAAGTGACCTAATCCCACAGACCTGGCATGGGCCGCCCAGCTCTGAAATGTCACCGTGAATCAACCCTTGGCAGCCAAGGAGTCACTTTTTCCTTGCTGGGGCTGCCGATAAAAACAGCCTGGGGAAAGCATGCTGGTGGCCAGCTCCAGTGCTGGCTGCTCTGTGGGAGCTACGACTGGGAGGCAGGACACCTTTGAGCCCAGGGTGAAGAGAAGACACCATCTCCTGAAGCAAAAGACCCAAAGAGAGATTTGGGCCATCTGACTCTTGGGTAAGGGTCACGTCTGGCTGTCAGTCACCTCTGCGTCTGCTCTATCCATGTTCCTCAGCTGTTTTAACCTACTGGCCAACCTAAGCCAGGTTGGCCAACAAAGGAGAAGTGCCCAAGATTTCCAGTTCCCGCAGGTCTTTTGAGCTTCCAAAGACATCAGAGATGCTTCAGAGGAAGAGGACAAGAGTCTTTCCCTGGTGGTCTGAGGTCTCAGCCTATGCTGATAGCCCTCACCTAAAGTCAACTCCCAGACACGATTCATCTGCAAACCAGCTGTCTGTGGTTCTGCTATCCAAGGAACTGATTGCCCTCCTAGAGTTGCTGTGGGTCATTTCTTTGTAGAAGGCTATGGCCAAGGGCAAATGGCTTTCTTTGAGCTGTTTAATGGGGCTGTGCTAGAAGCAATAACCTGAGTTTTAAAATGCAAACGTCACGTACAACACCTCTGTTTAACTGCAGGGGCTCCTCTTCCGTGGACTTCTCGTATGAACCATCTGCAAGAAAAAAAACATTGTCCTGTGAAATGCTGCAGGGCTGAATGAGGTTTTGCTCTCTGGGGTCCAGCTGACTCAAAGCAGCTCTCTTCAGGGTGCTGGCCCACCTGCGAGATTTGGAGAGAGAAGAGCTTCAAATATGCAATTCATATCACCCAAAGCAAATGGGAGCCGTACCCCCAAAACCCTTTTATCCCCACTGACTATTAGCAAGAGCTCAGCTCCAAGAAAGATATGGCCTTGTAGCTTCTGAAGTTAGGTGACATGAAAACACCCCAGAGGTAGAGTATGAGGCGATGGGGATGATCTGGCATTCAAAAGAAATCCAAAGGCATTTCTCGCCGAGTCAGTGACATGCCCCAACTGCATCAAAGAAAACTAGGAGAGAGGAACAGAAATGGCAGAAGGGGAAAGTTTGGAGGATGCACCTGGAGGAGGTCATAATGTGGCCATGGCCAGGAGACCACCATGGCCTTTCAGCTGCATAAATATTTCTCATATTAAAGACTCATTTTATGCTGTAACTTCACTGTCAGCAAGGTGTGAACCTGCCCGTTCGCTCTTGAGTCTGTCTCATCTGGAGATACGGAGCTTGATTCTCTCCTCCCCCTCCCAGGTGTGAGTCAGGAGAAACAGCAGCAAATTCAAGAGTTTCTCCCCCACGGAGAGCTGTGGGAGTGAAACTCAGCCATGTTGTACTGGGGTGAAAGTGGGGAGAGGGGCAGTTCCCTGACTGTCCTGAAAACTTCCCTGGAGCAACAACAGCATGCACCATCTTTACGTGGTCCATACAACCATCTCCACCCTGGTGGCTGAGTGGTCTGGAGGACTTTGCCCTCCATGAAGGTCGCATCTCTTGCGTGATGCACCAGTGGCAGGGCAAAGAGCTCAGCCCTA